AAATAAGAATTACCCAATTTCGCGAGGGTTGAGCGTCGTCAACCGGTAGCTTTAATATCACTTACGTCCCTCCCCACGTCCGCGACGCAGCATTTACAGGGTTGTGCGCGCGAAACACGCACACCCGCTAGATACGCGGGTATATACATACTAATATATACATTATGTGGAACAATGGTACACGATGGACGAAGAGGGATGGGCCGAGGGGGTTAAGCCGCCTCGGATGAAAAGTTATCCGCGCTTCGCGGATAAAGTCCCTCGTATTTTCTTCTGCCACCGTGTTGTCGGCCATCCATTTCTTCCGCGCGACCTCCGTGACGATTGCTAATTAGTGGAGTATGTGGGCAGAACTGTCGCTATCTTACCACCTTTCCTACTTAACGTGAAAACCACTGGACGGGTCAAACCAACCCACTTCGGAATTCTTATTTTGAAAGTATTCTACCCTTCGCATTATAATATCGTGTTGAACTCGTGGTAAATGTTCCAAATGGAATCTAACCAACACAAATGTTAACTGATTTCTTTTGAATTCTACTGAAATATTATTCCTGTGTTATTAATTGCTACACCTTAGAGCAAATATGGATGCAGGATATGTCTGCAATTTCTCTGTTTTTCTAATAAATATTCAATGGTACAGTAATTGTATCTATTGTGTGTGTATCACAGTTGGGAAAGAAAGTATAGGACAGGGGATTAAATTATTAAATTATTAAGATTTTAAACCTTTGCCATTGTAACGGTGACTTTGAGCTTTGATGTCTAAACTCGAAAACTGAATAATCTAATTATTTAAGTAAGGAGACATGTGGTTTTTCTGTTTTAGTATTTAACACTTTGGTGTGTAATGCAGAGTTTTATGAGAATATTAAAAGTTTATGACAGTTCTCGTCCGCAAAGAGTTCATCGTGCTTTAACCCCTTATTTTTAATATGACTGAAATATTACTTGTCTATTATCAATCTTTAACTTTAAGAGTAAACGTAGACATAATATAAGTATCAAGTTCTATTGTTTTTCTAATACGTTGTAAATAAAACAGTTTTATCAAGCACAGCTGTGAAAGACATTATAGGATAAGGGGTAACACTTTATGATCTGAAGTGTTTCTGGTCTCTCACTTAGGAATTTGGGATAATCTTAGCTTTTCAGGTGCTGAATATTTTATTGTCTATATACCTTAGCCTAGAGAAATTTTGATCAATAATTTTATTCATTTTTCAAGTTTTTCATAAACATTCCATAGCTACAATCATCTTTTCCCTGGACAAAGTTTACACGTTCCATTTTCGTCACAATTATTCCTAATATCACAACCATATTCTACATAACTACAGTCTCAGTAAATCTCACATGTTCCCAAACAAAGTAAAACTCCATGTCAACAATTGAACTAAACAACATTGTCCCAAGTTCCAAATTGAAAAATCAAGAACTCCTCAACCAAGTATCGAGGTTCCACGACAGGCAATTTTCTTATGCATAGTTGCTATATCAGGTTACACAAATGAAACACTTCTTACAAGCTCGTAAAATGTAAAAGTGTCCACCTTACCTGCTGAGATACGTAAAAGTTAAACGAACAGGCAATTGTGATACCACTTTTTCCGCCGTTTAAATTGCCGGGAAATGGGTTAAACCAAACGCCTTTCCCGTACGTGGGCGATTTAAACTGAGTAAGAGACGCCCGGCCGGAATTTATGAAATGCGTAATAGGATGGCGGCCTTGCGCCCGCATTCATCGCGCCTGTTGCTACACTTTTAATTGTCTCATCCCGGCGGCCTTCCTTTTTATCGGCGATCAGTAACGGTGCGCGGTATAGCAACCTCGGCTGCGAATTAGCTCTACGATCTCTCAGCCCGTGAATCCTTCGGCGAAATGTTCGATTCGACTCGGTGGATGATGTTATCCGAAAAGAGCGTGCGCGCGACCACGAGGTTTTCTAGGAAGAGCCGGAGATAGCGGAGATTTTTTGACGGCGCCGTAGGGCAGTATCTAATCGGCAGTCGTTAAACCATAACTGATAAGGAGTATTGATTTCGATGGGTGATTTATTGGAGCCGACTTCTATCCGCTCCTTTCCTTCGCTTCCTCTTCGCCGATAGCATCGGTTTCATGCGGAATTATTAATTACGAACTTAGCTGGCTCGAAACTATCGTTTCATAATATTGGAACCGTGCGATTTGTTTCAGACGAGAACTTAAGTCTTTGTACTCGAGAGGTAACTCTTGGTCGATACGTTTAACAAGTTGTACTCGAAATTTTGTGATTAATATTCAACAGTTCAGGATGGGATAGACAAAGTTTTTTGAAACTAAAGTTTAATGATAATTCATACATAAGTTAATGAACAAAAGTGTTTTATTTTGAGGTATTACAATGAAATAGATTTCACCTAGTGATGCATTATACAAAGTTTAATATTAAATATTAAGTTTCGTAATTCCGTAGCATCGGAACAAGTGGTGACTGAAAGTTATCGAGTGTAAAGTGTTGATTTAGCAGAACCATGAAGTTCGATGTTTAATATTAAGCTTCGTATTGCATCGATACGTGAATTGAGTGTGAACGAAGTAAAATAGCTTTGCTTGTGTACGATTTTTTGGTAAGGTAGTTTCGAAAACTGTCGTTTGCATTTAATTAGAAAATATTGAGTATTTCTGGTATAAAACTTTTGGAGCGCGTAGGGTAAATGTGGAAAATTGGTGGCTGAGATTGAGTTTTATTAAAGTTAATAAAGTAACTTTTGTGAACTTAAATATGGAGTATATTATGGAATAAGGGATTAATAGATTTACGTGGATAAAGCAGTGTTGAAAAATTTTGATAGCTTATCAAGTCATTTTTTTTTAGGTGTCGTATTTTTGTGAGAGCTTCTGCCGCGGAAATGAAGGAATATTTGTAGTTTCGAGTTGGAGGAAAAGGAAGAACAAACTTGCTCGTTGTTCCTTTCCTCTGTAAACTAGCAGCTATATACCGAAGTACTCGTAAAACTTTAGCATAAATATTTACTTACTGCGAAGGCATTTACTTGCGCGGGCTAGGCGAAGCATTAGTTAACCTTGCTACTAGAAACAGATACACGAATCGGAAACGAATATTCGTCTCATCTTTCGAAAAATTTTTGAAGGTATCGAAACATGAATGAGCTGACGAAGCGAGCTCATTTAAAAGGATAAAAATTTTTGTTGACTAAAAAACGAAATAATTCACTTAAATGTTCGATGTTATTTAATGACTCTAATCTACACTAAAATTGAGTCACACAGATTTTGAATCTCTTAACTCACTAAACTATTAAAAATCTTTCGATCTTCAAGACATCATCTTGAATATTACTCCCAACAATCTTCAAGCAAACTTAAACACTTCCTAAATCCTTCCTCACTTATTTTTTTCGTTACTTTTAATACTTACTGTTGTTACTATATCACTGTACTACTATACTTATTATATTTACTATATCACTACTGCTGTATTACTATACTGATTATATTTATATATTACTACTACTACTACTACTACTACTAATACTAATACTATTACTACTACTACAACTACTACTACAACTACTACTACTACTACTACTATACTATACTACCGTACTTATTACATTTACTATATTATTACTATTATACTACTTTACTACTACACTTACCACACCTATTATAATATTACTACTACACTACTGTACTACTATACTTACTATACTTACTATGCTATTACCAACATACTACTATACAACTAAACCTATTCATTATACTTTCACCACTACACCTATTATACTCACTATTGCGGCAACAATACGTACATTAAAGCAATATTTTATTACCTTATCACTAGTATTGCATTGAGCTTTCGCGGTCTCCAAATAACAGGAACAAAATGTTCTTTTTACAGGCGTACGGTGGTGGAGCATACGGTCCGACGGCAGGGGGCCCAGGCGGGGGGCCAGGGGGAGGCGGGGGCGGGGGTGGAGGCGGCGGTGGCGGTGGTGGCGTCGAGGGTGCCACCTATCCCCCGGATTCCCCTTATTTCCCGTTCGGAACACGAGGTGTACCGTCTTCCGTGGGGACACCCACCCCCCTTGGCAACCCCGCGGCGCCCACTGGCACCAACGGCGCACGGTTACCAAACTCCGCAGCCGGTTAGTTTCTTTTTGAACCCCTTCACCTCGCTCAGGCACAGGAATCCTCGTCAAAGCTCAACTTGTCTCGTTTCCAATGTTTCAGGTGCTGCTGCGGTGAAACGGAAGAAGGACGTGAGTATTCTTTTGTGTCCCGTTTCCTTTTTCCTTCTTCCGACGATTGGACCGGCGAACAGCCGGACTAACTATTTTATCGATTCTCTTAGAAGTTGGCGGTATTCTTGTAGGTTTCGTGTGATATTTTTTTGTTGCTTTTGATTCGGATTGTTTGGTAACTTTGCGCAGTTAGAGTTTGTAAAAGTTTGTTGGGAATAGCATCGGTTAGTTTTGGACGGTTTCCTGAAGATGGTTATTGATTTTTATAGTGACAGTCGACGCTTCGATTGAATAATCCTGTACTTTGTGTGTGAAGGTTATTAACATTCGCAGTGTATTAGTAACGTCCGGTACGAGTCTTCGTAATTTTAATAATTGCGAGAGGAAGAACTTAATATTTTAATTGGCTGGTGAATGTAGAGTCATGGGATGAATGTTATATGCACTCGACAGGGGTGTACTAGTAATTATACAGTATACGCGGGGTGTTTTTAAATTATGGATCTGAAATTGATTGGGCGGTGGAAATTAGAAGCATGGAGGAAATCTGAGTACATTCGTATATTTAAATGTGATACGAGTCAAGGTCCGGGTGTCATTAAGTCATATGTTACAGGAATTATTTATTATCTATTAGTTTCCTTTAGGTGCTCGGCTGCAGTGTAATTTGCTGTTTTTATAGGTTTATACAGCTGAGAAAGGAAAACAGTCTTAAGAAAAAAGAAGTTTTTCTAATCTCATAGATTCAGGGTGTTTACAGATTTATTTAACAGTGGAGGCCGAAATGTTGTCTAAAATGGTATTAAGAAATTCAATGAAAAATGTAGGGAAGGGAAGGTTTATACTCTTTCTTAACGTTTCCCAATAAGTCTACAGCTCAGAGTGTTAACCAAGGAAAATTTACAGATCAATCCGAAAGTTTCGATCGCGATCGAGACGGTAGACTTTCCGGAAAGGGATTGATCGTTTGCTCTTTTGTTCAGCAGGCCCTGGACGGAGCCGACGGAGAAGTCGTAACAACGCAGCATTGGGTAAGTGTCATGAAATTATTTGATAAACGCGCGTTAACCCTTTGCACTCGAAAGTTTTTCTGCTGCATACATTCATTATTCTCTAGTGAGTCATCGATTAAACTACTGATTCGACTAAATAGAAATAATGCACGAACCAATGGATACAGCTATTTTATTTGAATATTTCATATTTTATATAATCATATATAATTTCTATTATATAAAACATTTAATATAATTTATATAATATTGCACTTTATAATACAGAATATTTTATATGGTTTCATTATTTAATTAATTATATTATTTCGTTATATAAAATATGATATTGAATATTCAATTGTATCTGGTATATCAAATCAAAGGGTTAAACCACTTCTCTAATAACACGTTCTCCAATCGATAATGGCTCCTCGATCTATCGCAACCGATTTAAGCCGAGCGGCGCAATTGATCGATGGAAAAAACGATCGAATTGACTTGCCACGTGAATAACACGGATTTTTTCGGGCTCTTGTCAGTTCCTCGAACCGCGATGATCTCAGAGACCACTCATGATCGTAATCACTCGTGAGGTCACACGGGGGATAATGATTTTACCAGAACTAGACTATGGATTACGAGATTATTCAAGGTTTTTAGGTATTTTCTCACGAAACTGTCATATGGTTTAATAATAGTTACGTGAGATAACGGCCTCTTATCGTAAATCGCGTTGAAATGCCAAAATCCATTTGATTTCAAATACTCAGTCGATTAGTTCTTCTTCTGGGATTTTAATCGGTGCTGAATTTTATATTAAAATGTAAACGAAGATTTCGAATTAATTTTCTGAAATTATCAAACTATATTTACACATTTTGGTAATTGATAGCAGCCTTCTGATAAAATTGTTTATCACAGCGTTGTATTATGTTTCGATCGAGAGTTGTTTTATATATAATAAAACGAAGGGTTACGATTCGTAAAGATTCAACATATATTCATTAAAATCATTTAAGTTTCGTTGTGCGTGTGTTTCTAAGAAGACAACCTTATAGAAAACATTGCGAATTACATTACGTCAGATTTGTTTTCGTTCTCCGCATAGAAAATATCATTAAGCGAGGCACATGAGATGCTCGATTATTATAAAAAATTGATTTTCAACAATACGAATCTTTATTTCCGCGCGATAAAGCGCAAACGTGCGTCAGAAACGGCGAGACTCTTCGTGAATCATCGTCGAGTCGTAAACGGACTGGTCCCGTTTCCAGCGAAAGCTTTTTGTCACAAACACGCCCGAGCAAGAATGTTAATTAATGTTCATGTAATCATTGAATCGCTTTTCTCCTCTTTCCTTTTACAATTAATTATTATTTATATTCGTGTTTCTTATCTCGAAGTGGAGAACATAAAGACGTTTTATTCTTCATATCATACCGTGTGTACGTGAAAGATTCTCGGGGATCTTCGTAATTTATAACGACCATCAGTAGTAAAGGATGCATCTTCGTGTGAAATAAAAATTTCTCGAAATAATTTTGATACAAAAATTCCATAATTTAATTTCATTAAATTCAATTAGATTTAATAAAAATTTAATTTTATTCAATTGGAGGAAACAAGGATTGAGTGACAGCTGATTTCTTCTCTTAAGAATTTCAATAAGTTAGAAACAATATTTTTATAAGTAATATTTATCAATTTATATAACTAGTAGAAAATTACTTTATACATAAATTCCTATATTACGCTACTTTATATTCTATGCACTTGTGTTTGTCACAAATGCATCATCAATGTCGCATCTCGGGGGATGATAAAAAATGTGCCACGCGTGCAACTCGCGCTGGTGGGAGAGAGCCGGTCCCCTGGCAAATAGAATATAATATCGATCGATAGGCGAACGTTAAATATTTGTCGTCCCGGCGTTCTTCGAGCACCGTCGAAAAAGAAGCGAAAACGAACTGGCTCTTTTCGATCGTCAAATACGGTCCTACACCTGTTTAAATTCTCTTACTGCGCGCGCCCGTTTAACTGATTTATCAGAGGATAATTTGGGATGACGATTCGAGGTTTATCATTTTGTTTCTACTTATATATCGCCGGTGAACATGCGTGTACACAGAGCAGATCATAAAAATAAGATTTTATAAATTCATTTTTATGATAGCAAGACACGTGAAGAAAAATAATTATAATAATATTGAAAAGGAACATTAATCATTTTGATAAGAATTTCCTTTTTAGTTTTCAAGCGACTTCGATTGACTTTTTAAACAACGTTATTTTAAATAATTTTTCTAAATTAATAGTTTTGTGCTCTTATTTACATGGTGTATATTTAATACCACATACATCTCTTAACCCTTTGGTTCATAAAATCGTGTATGATTTGCGGCGAATATTTTTAATCGAATTCAATGCATATGAGTATGTATCGTTTACAATTTATACGAAAATTGTGTTGAAAAGTAATGAAAAGTTTCAGTGACAATGTTTGTAATTATTGATAACGTTTCTTTCGTATTAAATATTGATAGATGTTCGAGGGAAACTGAATATATTATCAGAAATTATATACCCAGTGCTGCAATGTTGACGATAATATCAGAGCCCTCGCGAATATTACAGGGTAGCAGCGAAATTGTTAATTTATCGATGGTTAATAAAAAAAA